CTTGTAAACATATGTTGTTGAAAATGACAAAGAAGGTAAGATTAATAATTCTAACACAATTTTTTTTTCAATATTTCTTATGTTTTTCTTCACTGTCGGTGGTAATGAAAATATCAATTCTCCAAAATTCATTTTTATTAATGGTCTGATGCCTAGAAGCGTTTCGTAAGGGCTTCTTATATTCTCAAAGACTTCTTTACATTTAATACTACACTTATGAACTACTCTTATGATACACTGTGTATGAAACATTTGGAGAGCAGTAGGAGAATACTTTATTCACTCTCATGTTTTTTAAAATATCCTCATAATGCCCCCAAAATTTGTCAGTGCAGGCTATTGAACATATGGCCCTGTATGACTAACCATCCTGAGAGATGGGGGACTTTTAGTATCACTGCTACCTTATTCACTCGTGTTCATGATGATATCCTCATAATGCACCCAGAGTTTGCCAGTGCAAACGACTTATCTCTTGCCTCTGTATGACTAACCACCTTGTGTGATGGGGATTTTTAGCATCATGTAGCTACACACAGAAATCACAATAACGTGATGCATCAAATGAACAAATCCACAAGGGCCGTGATTTTTTATCATGTCGGAGCTCAGTCGATTAAGGCAGCGCCTGGGATGCTCTTGGACGCAGGTTCAAATTCTTGTCACGGCCCTTGTGGATTTGTTCATCATGTAGCTAGCTTTTTGACACACTGTACTCCCCTTCATATAGTCAAGGGTAGCTGCACAAATGCAAATGTACCCAAATGTGTTAATAAACAAAAATTCGTGGAAATACTCGACAGATTAATGTTTCAAATCAGGCCCCACCTTGCTCCTAACCTGTATGGTTTCCTTCCTGAAAGAAGCATACAAACTTGCTTTGCTGGATATTTTATTAGAGGGACCAAGCTCTCAGGTGACATTTATTGACCTCCAAACTATTTTTGATACAGCAAACAGAGAAATAATCTTAGAACAACTAGCCTCTTTTGGAGTTAAGGGATGACTGCTGACATGGTTCAGGGGTTACCTGAGTAACAGAACCGCCTAAGTTCTTTTCAAGGGGGTCAAAAGTAATCACTGTGTACCCTTTGAGTTGGGTACACCCCAGGGTGGAGTGCTTAGCCCAACACTATTCAATGTTCTGATCCACAAATTAATAATTGATATTCCCACACTACCTGACAAAGCCATCATCTGTTATGCCGATGATATATGAATTGTTTCAAATACCCAAACTAGAGTGCAAACTCTATTTGATTCACTCCCTGCTAAAGGCATTGAATGTGGTCTTGTTATCTCTATAACTAAATCCAGAGCTCTCCATCCTCAAGAGAAAACTCATGTCCCTCTAACTTTCAAGGTCAACAACCAGAACATTGAAGCATGTGGGAAGTACAAATACCTTGGAGTTGGTATCAACAGTGACATTGTAAAAGATCTACATTGTAGGTTAAAAGAAAGACTTAAACATTTGAAAACACTTACTGGTAAGAATATTGGTATCAATAATAAATATGCAAGATTATTATACTGTATATGATGTTTGTTAGATCTCTAGTTGATTATCATGCTTTGCACCTAATTAACTTCCCCACCTCTGTATTGGACAAACTTGTAGCAGTACAGAATGAAGCCATGAGGATAATTCTTGCAGGTGCCCCAAGATGCACTAGAATTATCAACATGAGGGAAGAACTGAAGCTTCCAACCATACTAGAGAAAATCATGTAAGTCAACACGACCTTTTGCCTAAAAGTCATGAGACGCAATAAAGCACCTAAATTATTGGGATCGTCTCAAAGCCCTCCAAATGTACTCACTAGAAAGAAGACGAGAGAGATATCAAATAATATACACCTGGAAGATACTGGAGGGCCAAGTACCAAATCTACACAGTAAAATAACAACGTACTGGAGTAAACGATATGGAAGAAAATGTAGAATAGAACCAGTGAAGAGCAGAGGTGCCATAGACACAATCAGAGAACACTGTATAAACATGAGAGGTCCGCGGTTGTTCAACGTCCTCCCAGCAAGCATAAGAAATATTGCCGGAACAACCGTGGACATTTTCAAGAGGAAACTAGATTTATTCCTCCAAGGAGTGCCGGACCAACCGGGCTGTGGTGAGTATGTGGGCCTGCGGGCTGCTCCAAGCAACAGCCTGGTGGACCAAACTCTCACAAGTCAAGCCTGGCCTCGGGCCGGGCTTGGGGAGTAGAAGAACTCCCAGAACCCCATCAACCAGGTATCAACCAGGTACCCTACATCTCGTGCACTGCTCAGAGACAAATTATTCAATGTTGTTGATACCCTATTGACTGGTGCCAACATACAGATTCATTTTTTGATAAATGGCTGAGCAAAAATGCCTACAATCTCATCAAACTTAACATTCCTTTTAAATGCAATCTACCTGTCTTTGATATTCTTCTTTATCTCTATCACACTATTTCAGTATCATACACACCCGTCACCAAGAAAGAAAATGAGGATTTTACTCTTCTCAAAGATGTCACATGTAATGTACGATTATGTTACTTTGTTGGGTAGATTAGATACACAGTGTTTAGTGGGTTTCAGATTTATTTAGTAATCTTGGTTACAGGAGTCGGTTGTTTGCAGTGTCATAGACATTGAGACAGAACTTGGAGCAGAGCAGAGAGCTGAGTGAGGCCAGAGTCCTGGAGCTCTATGCGGGAAAGCGTGGCGGTTCAATGCAGAATAGTGAGTGTCTAAACTCGGTGAGATCATGAGTGTCTAAACTCAATGAGATCATGAGTGTCTAAACTCGATGAGATTGTGAGTGTCTAAACTCGATGAGATCGTGAGTGTCTAAACTTGATAAGATCGTGCGTGTCTAAACGCGATGAGATCGTGAGTGTGATAGCTCGATGTGGTCGTAGTCTGCTGTCTGCTCTGTGTCGTAGTTTGAACGTCTTGGGGTTGATTAGAACTGCATACGCTGAGTGCTACAATCTTGAGGTCGAAGAGGTGTGGCAACTCCGAAACGTCTGTACTGAAGTTAACTGAATCACTGTGGAAATTATACTTATACAGTACTTAATCGCTTATCGATTGCTTATATGATTGGACTACACCTCACCGTCCTCAAATAGGTTGGAAGGATGGAAAGAATGTTAACTGTAATTAGGAGAAAACATTATAGCTTCATAATTAGTACTAATGATTTTTGCCATTAAGCTAATGAGAGAGTGGAGCGAGTATGTTGTTTACTCGCTACAGAACTCCCCCTCCAAGGGGATGAAAGAAAAGAAATACAACAAAAATTACGAAGCTACTGTTCCCTGGGTCACTATGGAGCATTTAGTCCGGTACCAAAAGATGTAGGCAGCATGTGGACAAGCTCGATTTAGCAAGAGAGAAGGATGTGCACAGTTGTTGCGTCCAGGGTCTCTGGTAGAGCAGTTAGATCCAGGGCGGATGGGCTCAGGCACCAGGACCATACGAGGTAATGTAGGCATGTAGTTAGGACAATGAGGGAATTACAGTTAGGTTTGAATTGTCCTGAAAGCGATGAAAAGTCGGAAACGAAAGCTGTAGGTCAAAGATGAAGTTGAATTAGACTTAGGTATCACCATCTCTGCTGTCAAAACTGTATTGTTGCAAACATTCAGGTCTGGTAGGAGAGAAAATACTGACTCCCAACGACCTGAAAGCCTCAGTATGAAAAGCTATGATTTGTTCAGATTCGAAACCTGTTTATGGGCAGCACAAAATGACCACCATACGGTGCGACACAGTGGTTGCCAGGATCAGGTTGGGTTACTGTTACCTGTGACAGGTGGCTACAAGTGATGGATCTCTCAATCCTGAGCACTCCAGGTGCAAACTCTGTGAGCAGGAACTGGGGCATGATCTTGCACACTACATCACCGAATGCCCAGTTATCAGACCATTCAGACCTGTTGGCATGAGGTACCTGGAGCTTAGAAATTACTTTATTCACTCTCATGTTCTTGAGGCTATCCTCATAATGCACCCAAAATTTGCCAGTACAGGCTACTGAACATAAGGCCCTGTATGACTAACCATGTTTCGAGATAGGGACTCTTAGTATCACTGCTACCTTATTCACTCTTGTTTTCATGATGATATCCTCTTAATGCACCTAGAGTTTGCCAGTGGAGACTACTGATCACATGCCTCTGTATGACTAAAAATCTTGTGTGATGGGGATTTTAGCATCACGTAGCTAGTTTTGTGACACAATGCACTTCCCTTCATATAGTCTAGGGTAGCTGCACAAATGCAGATGTACCTAAATGTGTTAATAAAAAATCATGGAAATAAACATTCACAATTCAGGTGAATTGAATACCTAGACTTCTTACCTGGAAGCTGATGAAAAAAAAAAAATCTGAGACATAGAGGGAAGAGAAGGAAGGAGGAGGATTGGATGTTTGAAGAGAGGCTAGGAGAGATAGGGTTAGATGGAAAGGTGATAGAAAGAGGGAGACTGGAAGAGAGGTGTGAGAAGGTGTTGGTAAAGTAAGATGGAGTGTGGGAAAGATGGGAAGAGAGGGGAATAGGGAATGATATGAGAGAGGGGGAATGAGACCCGGAACAGCCAAGTACCTCTCCTAGTAGTATCTTGACAACTGGGATGTTGACATTATAATATCTTGTCTACCGAAATGTTGACACTATGGCATTATCTCTTTCTCATGGAAGAATTGCACTAATTCCAATTGTGAGTAAACAAGCAACATTAAAAGATCAGAGTTGTAAAGACAACCTTACCTGTGAGAAGGAACGAGGGGGGGAGGGGGGCAGGTTAAGTGTAAAGGCAGATGTGAGGTGGATGTAGGCGAGTGTGAGAAATGTCAGTGATATGCTTCTCATGATCTTGAAAAGAAGTGTGGAGAGTGTAGCGAGCCAGTGGACAGAACTCACCACTCATGGGATGTGGGATGAGCCAGTAGGTAGAGCTCACTTCTGAATGAAAGTGGAGCGAGCTAGTAAGCAGAACTCACCTCTGAGGGTGTGTGGGCAGAGTCACTGGCCATAGAAGTGGTGGAGGAGCAGAACTGTCGGTCCGGACTGGGTGGGGAATCTGTGAAGAGCTTCATGTGCTTGGGTGAGGGCTGTGCCTCGTCCCCACACTCACTGTAGTCCAGCTGCAACATAAACACTCAGTTTAGTTAAGCCTCCATCTGACCCATTTTCACAGGTTTGAAACAATACCACAACATAAGAATAGTGGAAATTGCAGAAGGTCTTTTGGCTCATACGAGGCAGCTCCTATTTATATCCACCCAACCAACTCATATATATGTCTAACCTAAGCTTCAAACAATCTAGTGATCTCAATGCCTCCCAACCATTCCCTTTCGATAGTATACTTTAGAAAGTTTAGATACTCTGCTCAATGAATCAGCTTTATTTATATACTATTAATGGAGTTGCATGATGTTCGAATTCTTTGTCAAATCTGGCCTAAAGTTGCATATTGAAGGTACAAATACATGCTGACTTAACAAATGATCTTTGTAATTAATTACTACGTCCAGATTAGATAAATGTTGAAGATTTGCTTTTGTGTCATTTGATTTTAATTGGTAGAAAAATTTTTCTAGATTTTTTTCAGGGATATTCCTGCATGGGGCTCTAAGCCTCTGGCTGGCTCACTAAGTGTTACTTATTTCTTGTTTCTGTTATACTTAGGAGGAGTATGAGTATTTATGACTTGTATGTTCGCTTCAGTAAGATTATGTCCCATGTGTTTAACAACTAATGCTCTGTTGAATCTAGTTGAAATTTTATTTGGTGTGTAACTCTGTACTGTATTAGATAATGTTCTAGTGGTCTGTCAGACATTTCTTCTCAGGGTTGACATTTCCTCACATCTTCTGGAATCTGTAAGCCTATTTCCCATGCACATGGGTATCCAAGCCTCATGTAATGTAAGTAAACTTCTGTTGTTCTACTACTCCCTTTTATCAAAATAAATGAAATAAGAAAAATAAGAAATTCGTAGTTGGTTGAATTCTTATACCAACCCGCAGATCCTGATGCTGCAATTGCTGTGTTATACTGTACATCTTCGATCTATTCGATCAAATAGAGCATTGCTCTATTTCTAATTACTTTCTTAATATGTGATAGACTCTGGGGTAACTTGCATAACTTGCTATGTAAATGTCTACATTTTTTCTCTTATTTGCAAGTTTTGCAGCTTCGTTTGCAATGTCATTCCCCATTATTCCCACATGACTTGGCACTCAGTTGCTAATTATCCGACGACCTTGACGTTTGAGTGTTTGCATTAATGTAATGACATTTGTGGTCAGATGGATGTTGTCACGTATGTGTTCTTGTTGCAAGGTTTCAATGGCAGTTCTCGAATCTATATATATGAAAACATGCTGTCATTTTTTTAATAGATGGAATAATTGCATAAATTAGTTTCGGTGTCTTGACTAAAAGCTTCACCAACATCATCACTGCCATAGTCATCCTCACTATCATCATTACCACTACTATCATCGATGACACCATCATTTTCCACCATCACTATAATGATTGTCACTTCTCATCATCACCATTACTATCACCAACAACACTATTAATAACATAATAACTGACCGATCTAAACTTAATCAACCTATACTAGTCACATAAAACGAGACGTAGAGACCAAATCAGGCGTCGTCGACAGCTAACCCTCAACAATTAATTGAGCTTGACAATCATGAGTTACTGATAATATGACTTGCGTAATATGAGTAAGATGTGAATAATCATTCCCGTCGAGTGTCTAAGGACACGAGTAATGGAAACAGTTGAGCGTCCATAGTGAAATCGACACCAGTAATTCCATCTATCATCAACTATCATGCAAGAGGAGCCACAGTTTTGGATGAGGTGAACAAACTTTTGACCAACACAAGACAGAACACGGGACAATGGGTATAAATTGGATAAATGAGAGGAAAGAATGGAAGTAACTGCAAAGGGCCTATTGGCCCATACTTCCTCTTGATGCTTCTATATTGGTACGGAGTCATGAAGAGGGTAGAATATAGTTGTGCATTAATTGGCTGTTGATTGCTGGTGTTGACTTTTTGATGTGTAGTGCCTCGCAGATATCAAGCCGCCTGCTATCGCTGTATACAGCGATACCAGGCGGCAATATAGAAGACCAATATAAAAGCAACAAGGGGAAGTATGGGCCAATAGTCCCTTTGCAGTTACTTCCATTCTTTCCTCTCATTTATCCAGTTAATACCCATTGTTCTGTGTTCTGTCTTGTGTTGGTCAAAAGTTTGTTCTCCTCATCCAAAACTGTTGCAACATATCACCTCACCCAAGTGCGAGTATATAAGACAAGCTGTTCAGTGTTAGCATAAGTAAAACTATGTTTAGTGTTTTCAGGTTACAGTTGTGTGTGTGTAAACTAAAGTTTTTGAAAATGGAATAAGTTATTACGAAACACGTACAAGCGTCGCGTCAGACTAGAAATAAAAATGAATTTTGGAGAATTGATTTTTCAATTACAATTGACAGTAAAAAGAAACATAAGAAATATTGAGAAAATTTGTGTTAGAATTATTAATCTTACTTTTTCGGTCATATTCAACAACATATGTTTACAAGAAAGACTGCTACCAATATATATATATATATATATATATATATATATATATATATATATATATATATATATATATATATATATATATATATTATATATTATATTTATATATAATTTTATATATATATATATATATATTATATATATATTATATTTATATATAATTTTATATATATATATATATATATATTATATATTATATATATATATATAATATATATATATATATATATATATATATATATATATATATATATATATATATATATATATATATATACATACAGTATATAGAAAACAATCCAGCTGGGATGGAATTGTGGCAATCCATTGTAGACAAAGAAGCCACAGCTTTGCTGGAGGCAGCAACAACCTCCAGTGATCTTGGGCACCTCACAGCTGTGCTTGAACCTCCCCCCCCCCCCCCTCCCCATTCAGGGGACTTCCTTTTGCCCGAAACGCTTTGCGTAATAGTGGCTTTAGGCATTGTATGTACTAGCTCTATCTATAAAGCCAACAAACTTTGTAAAATCTCTTTATGTATGTACCTTTACCTAAATAAAAATTATTATTATTATTAGTATTATTATTATTTTGGCAGTCCTTATGTCTGCAACAGGCATACGTCTTGATCCACAGCAGCTCTGTATTGCAGTCGCTATTTGCCTTTGTTATGGTATCTACACCGTTGCTGGAGTGAGGAGTGGCGATTTCGGCGCCATCTATGGACCTGCACTCCAGCTTCCAAGTATTAGGTGAGATGCAAACAACGCCATCTGTTGGCAGTCAGGTGGCGTCAGTGTAAGGCTCCTCTTTCATACCTCAGTTAGGAGATGAGGTCGATGATGATAACCTCTGTTGGGTGGCGTAATGATATCAACGCCATCTGGGTTGTGCTTGTAATTACAATGTCAGTTCCCCGGTGGAAGAGTGTTATCCTAAGGTCACCCAGTATACTGTCTGTCTAGCTAATAACGTTTATGTTCACAGAGGTGACGTGAGGAGGTGATTGCACTGAGGAGGGCAGTTCACCTTGGGCAGTCCAGAACTCTTGACTTGGTCCTGTGAGAAGACACAGTGGCCGCCGTCGGCCGTAGCAGTGTATTAGATGCTGGATTTATGCAGTGTTGTATGGACCAACGTACCCGGGATTTGGCCAAGAAAAGTTGAGATGATAGTAGTACGTCTGTTGAGAAGTGCTGCTAGAGACTTCTGCCAGGGTATTAGCTACCCCTGTACGTGATTATTTGAGACCCCTGTCGGCGTGTTGCTGAAGCCCTCTGCCAGTGTGTTTCTGGAGAGCGGATGTGGGGTATTGGGACATCGTGACGATACGGTGTGTGGACTGGCCCATGGCGAGGAAGGTGAACTCGCCGGTGATTATCATTAAGTACCATTAAGTATTATCAAAGACTGTACCTCTCTCAACCAGTTTAAGATAAAAACGAAGCTATACCTAATAAATTCCCTGTAACCTACCTTACCCCTCTATTGTCAACCAATGTCTGTTTTTTTTTAAAGAGCGCTGTTTGTCGACAGAATTGTATTTGTGCTGCTTTTTCAGCTATGTTTTCATTCCATGTTTTCATTTTATTCTTTATGCTCAATTAGTATTAAGCTTTAGTCATTTAAGTTTTTCATGCCCGAAACGCATTGCGTAATAGTGGCTTTAGGCATTGTATGTACTAGCCCTATCTATAAATCCATCACTCTTTGTAAAATCTCTTGTATGTATGTACCTTACCTAAATAAACGATTTGATTTGATTTGAAGTGTGGGGCAAAGTGTAACTGGATGTTGTAGACTTGCTGGGATTTGATGAACACTGCCGATCTATTGAGTGTCCTGAGTGAAAGCAACAGTATAAATATGTGTAGTAATACTTAGATATTATATATATATATATATATATATATATATATATATATTATATTGGTGAAGGTGATAATATATTGGAGAAGGTGTAATTGTGTATTGTTTATCCCCCTTTATTCTTTGCATTACTACTTGCCACCATTAGTTCTTGAAAACTTGCCATCGACTTTGGGTAGGATCAAGAAGATATAAAACACGTTAACAGAAAGAACCCGGTTGCTGGCTGTAACAACTTTGCTACCCCTATCCACACTGTGCATAGGTGTATTTGCGGCGAGGCAGATGCAGATGAATATGCATTGCATGGCCTGCACTGTGGAAAATCAGGCAGTTGGAACTCGCACACAACAGAGTCAATGACATTATTAAGAGGAGCGTTGCCTCTGCCCAGTGTCCAGCAGAGAGAGAGAGCTTTGCACTCTATTGAACTGTATGTAACTGTTAGCTTTGATGACCGACTAGATGGTATCACACTGCGCCCTTGTAAAAGTGACAGACAATTGGCATGGGACTATACTTGCATATCCACCCTGGCAGCCACATACGTCAACCTCTCTGTCGGCTAAGTAGGAGTCGCAGCGACATAGAGAAAGTGGCAAGTCAACCAAGTACAGGGAAATAGATCACCGGTACAACTTCGTTTGAATA